GTAGTGCAGGTTCTCTTACTAGAAGCAAAACTTGCAGAAAATTTTGGAAAAGTGCATGAAAGCAAGCGCTGGGGAATGTATCACGAAATATGCAACAACCTATTAGAGTATACTATAGAACAGTTTTGATACCATTCAAGAAACTGTTCACTGCAAAAATCAACCTCCAACAACAAACGGGAATTCGCAGTTATTTTGTCGCTCGTGTACAAAAGTTTTTCTTGTTTTGCATGGAAAATTCAGGAAACATTTTGGAAAGCCTACCTGGATGATCATCAGTGTGGAATGACTGCGCCAACGTCACAAAGGCTAGAGCCATTTTTTGCCAATTGGATTTTACAGCTGAATTTTGAAACCTTGAAGTTACGAAGAAAATACATAAAACTGTCACACTCACGTCCAACGAAAAGTTTCTGAAATATGCCTAATCGTTCTTGCATTACTCTCATTGCGTCTTCAGTAGTTTTCACGCTCCGCTGGAACTTATCCACTTGACGTTCGCTGAATTTATCGAAGTAATTGGCAGAAAAAGTAATCAAATAGAAGGCTAAGTAAAATTTAAAAAAAAAAAACGAATTAGAATGTCTTACACATTGCTGAGATCTAGTGAAGATTGTGGGAATGTGACACAGTTGAAAAAGTTTCCACCAACATATTCATCCTAGAAATGCCAATAAAGAAAAGAGTGCATTATTTGAATTTTTTAGTTTTAAATTTGCAACTCTACCTTAAATCGACCTCTTCTCGGCTGATATCTGCATTAAGTTTCTAAAATAAAAATGGTTTTACCTTTTCCGCTTTCCTCTTACCGTTCTTCCATTCCTTCTCATCAGTGCAAGTAATGAAGTGCAGCCATACCTAATTACAAAAATGTGATAGAAACAATTTAACTAACAAAAAAGTATAACGTATGAGCATCAACTGCGCTATATTTTTTTGAGCAACAAAGCTCCAGACATACAATCTTGGAAAGATCCCCATTTTTTTCGTGAATTTTACAGATGCTGTTTGCTGTGCATTAAACATGTGAGTATTACAAAATATCTTAGTTCTACTACTGACCTCGCTTTGGCTCAGTACTGGATGACGACAAATCTTGTTCACCCATAATTGCAAAATATGTTTCCTGTGATCAATGAGATCGTCTTCGTAACGCCCTGGAAAAAATCAATAATTGATTGACATGCCGATAATAGTTTATACTACTGCTGAAACTGCATTTTAGCAAAAAAAGGATCATTTTATCAAATAAAAATAGTTTCAAATCTTTACCTGACACTTGTTTCTCAGGTAGTGGTGGAATGGCAATCATTATATATTTTGCAGACATTTGATCATGTAACCAATCAAAATGTTTGTAACGTCGAGAAACCTAAAATCCCTTTTATAG